TTGATAGTTATATATTTTACTTATGATTTATAATAAATCATTACTCTTGATACACTTTATTTATTATTGTATGTGTATATACATGGTGTATGTTATGAGTGAGTGCATGTGTGGAGGTCAGAGGTCAGCTTTTAGGAGTTCTCTCCTTCCATTGTGGATTCTTGGGATCAAATTCAGGTTAGCAGGTTTGCACAGCAAGAATTTGTACCACTGAACCTCCCCTACTTTTAAATTTATCTGTTTATTTGCAGAATAGAAATGATTTACTGTGCTTAATTCAGAAAATGCTTTCTTTTTTATTCCACTTAAAAAGGAGTCTTCATTACTTTTTGCCTTTGAATGAACAGACCCTCTTTGGATTTAAAAGATAGTGTTGGTAATTTGAGACAGAGTCTCACTATAATAGCTCTGGCAGTCCTGGAACTTACTCTGTGCTCCTCAACTTAAAATGACCCTCCTGCCTCTGTTTCCTGAGTGCTGGGATTGCTGATGTGTGTCATTATGCCCAGTTTATTTTTAAATTTATTACATAAAGTTGAAAATAATGGTTTCATGTGGCAGGCTGTGATTTAGAAGTACCTGATATTAATATTAGGACATTAAAGCCTTATGAAGTTCAACCCAGTCCACGGGGATTTTTGTCTTCCTGTATTTTCAGGAGAGACAAGCTTAGATTCATCCACATCCCATTTTAGCAAAGGTATGTTGAGTATTTGTCCATAGATGCTGTCATAGAACAAAGGTAGAAACAGATGGTTTAAAATGTAAAACACCCTCTGCTGACTGATTGGCCTTGGGTAGACATTCACTTTGGTATCTTGTATTTTCCAGTACCTAGTCCTATACAATGTGAATTAACCTTCAGGCCCAATGGCTGAATCATTTGCAAAATTTTCATGGAACAACAAAGCCAGGTTTTATATGCTGGATTTAATTAAGATAAGAAAGATACTAGGATTGCTCAGAAATACAGAAATTAAATACGTGGAACAGAGAGAGGCTGCAGGTTAATGTTAAGATAGACTTCATTTAACAGTTTTATGCAGCAGTTTAGAATTTACCAAGGGCCTTAGCATGTATGGTTTCATTTAATCCTAGTGTTTGTCTCTGAGCTGGATACAATCCACATTCTGCAGGTCAGGGTCTTGGGCTTTCAAATGGCAGCCTTTTTTTTTT